TTGAAATGTGTTCTCATTTGTTATCTATGGGTTAAGACATTTAGGTGAATCGTTGTTATAAAGAACATCCTTTTAATGTGTTCACCGCTTCCTCAACATATCATCCGAAAACACATCTCTTTAGAATCGTTGCATCGTTGTTTTTTGCAGGCAAACGTTCCACCGTTTGCGTTACAATATTCACACTCTTTTTAGTATAAAATAAACCTTGTCTGTCTATCTCAGGCTCAATTACATTCCTGAAAACAATCTTCTGAATGTTGCAGTTAAAACGTTTAGTGTCCTTAGTATACCCTTAAACCCTTATATGGAACCTTTCTCTTTTCCGATTCCTTTTCCATTTGTTTTGTAACATAATAATTACTATCATCCTATATATGGTTTTTCTTTGTATATCATTCAGATCAAAGAACGTTACTTTAAATTAAAAACCTCTGTGTTAGCTCTATATACATAATAAGCAACGTAGTCAAAGTTGTGAGAACGTCCCCGCTAGCTGCGGTTCGTGCAGGACATATAAGTAACACATGCCCTGGTGATGACTTCACGACTGATAATGAGATTATGGGATTCCTTTTTCGAAGTGACTCACAACAACATTGACTCAGAACTGACTGCCACTCAACACCATAAGGAAACATGTGGTTAGATTTTCCTTCTCTTTTAACAGACTTCTCTCCTTCTGGGGCGCTCGAGCCACACGAGGACGACTAATGCCAAACAGCCGGAATCAGTTTCACAGGTCTTGCCGTCCACATCAGTCGCAATCAGCACCAGAATATCGGAATGCCACAAAAGCAGCGAAGAAGACTTCCCGTGCCGCATGGTTTGCCCAAGGTTGCCTTCTGTTTATTCTCCCACTGTGGCGACGCTCTGGCTCTTTCCCACAGACGGCAACGCGTTTGCCTCCTGCTGAATCCCCGGAGCCCACCAGACCCAGATGAAAAAACCCGGCACACCTCTCCGCCTCTTCCAAGGATCGAGGGGATAGTGGCAGCAGAACCAGAGTTCAGTTAGATTTTTTTTCGCCCAGGTCAACATGTCCGTTCAAATCAGACCGCTCCAAGAGCGCGGGCCAAGAATCCTTGTGACTATGCGGCTAAATTTCCTTGATTATGCGGGAGCTAAAATCCTCTGATTATGCGATACATCGGGTTTTTGTGATTTTAGCGTTGAAACTGCGGGATTAGCGAAATAGCGGCGCGGAAAGTTGCGAAAATATGCCAAATATGCGAAAAAATTATCGATTTTTAAAAAAAAAATAGAGGAACATCTTATTTCTCTCTCCTCACACACAGACCTGCCACAACGTAAACCCCCTTACTGCAATTCATTAAACGAAAGTAAACACATTCAATGTTTATTTATGTAAAGCCAATTCGGGCTATTTTAATCTCACCACACACGACACACACACACCCCCCGCCCATCGGGCAGCGCTGGGGGACATCGAGACCAACCCCACTGATGCTGGAGGCCTCCCTGGAAGCTTGATGTCGAGAGATGAATTCTGCCTTGGACAGGTTCTTATCACCCAGGTCCCGTCCTGGTACCTCTCTGGAGGTCAGTGAAGCCTCGTACATTCGTTAGCCCTGTCACCACCACTCCAGGAGGGATGCTGATTGGCCGCTGGCAGGTCCTGGAAAGTTATCCCCAGACCGAGAAGCCCCGCGAGGGAAGCCAGGCCTTCCCCCCCCCGACTGAGGCTTTGTCCAGCCAGCCCACGTTGAACCCTGAGGACCCGGCGTGAGAACATAGACCACCCAACGCTCCCCATTGTTTCGAAGTCCAGAGAGAAAAAATCTTGCTTTCATCCCAGGCCGTCAAAAGCATGAAGAAAGCACCTTGCCAGAACAGCCCAGCGCCGCTCCCGCCCCTGCGCTGTGAGCTTCTGTAGCATGGATGGAAAAATGGAGCAGCCTGAGGACGAACTGCTATTCTCGGCACCCCTTGATCAGGTTCAGCCTCCCCCTGAAGGAGAGCGGGATCACCGACCCTGAACATCCCTTGGTTTCCAAACCCGCCCCCCAGTCCCCCGAAGTGAACTTCTGCACTGAGAATTTTCCAACCCCTCAAGCCGACCTTGCGTTGGTCAAGGACCGCTCCTGATGAGAGGTCTGTTGGGTCCCAAGGATGAGGCTTTAAAGATGTTCGGCCAGCTTGGATTGGAGTGCTGGAGCGGGCTTCCCTTCCTTGGAAAGCTGTTCCAAGCTGCCCTCACCTCCATGTCTGGGTTCTAACTCCTCACTCAGGCCCCCACCCACACTCTCTATTTTAATCTCACGCACACACACACACACACACACACTTCTCCGCCTCATTCTGTTTTCATTTACTCGTTCGTTATCTGCAGCTTCAATCTTGTAGGCTACTCACCTCGTTTCTTGTAGCCCTCGAAAGGGTTTTGGAGGTTGATGCCTCGTGAACGTGAGTTGTTGGCTTTCTTGTCCGCAGCAGCAGAAAGCATTTTCGAATGTTTGAATGAATCAAAGTGGGTCGTCACCCTCGATTTTCTCTTATGCTCCAACACACAGTTGCACGGGGTGCAGAATAGTTTCCCCCCACTTTTTGCCCGGTCTTTAGTAGAAATGTTCGTCTGTAAATGAGATGGATTAGATATTTTCATCTTGGTGTTTTCTCTATCGTGTGAGCTCCACACGTTCACTCTATACAGTGTTGTTTACATTCTGTGATGCGCGAGCTGATGACGTCACGTCAAGACGAGTTAACTTTTTTTTTTCTCAACTTTGTGTGGAAAAATGCGGGGATTATGCGGCCTTTTGATAAATATGCGGCCTTTTAGAAATCTGTGCCATTTTGCTGATTATGCGGTAAATTCTGCGATCGCAGAATCGCGTTTTTCTGGAGGGTCTAGATTAAGCTAAATTAAACGATTTTTTTAAGTAAATAGTACGTTTTTGGTGTTAACATATTCATTTGTAATTATTTACGCTTAGCATCTGCTTTTTAGTTCCCTCACAACATGATGAGTTTTCTAATAAAAATGTAATGTATACTACTTACACAAACCTGTCTTTGAGCAATTTAAAGGGGCCCCATTTTGCTCATTTTTAGGTTGATATATGTGTTATGTTCCTCCGCATGTTTACATGCTGTAATGCTCAAAAGGTCTTTATTCTTCTCATACTGCCTGTACTGCAGCACCTCTTTTCACCCTCTGTCAGAAACCAGAGCCCAGTGCTCTGATTGTATGCTGGCCAGCTCTGTTGTGATTGGTCAACCACTTAAAGAGGTCCCACCACTTAAAGAGGTCCCGCCCCTTAGCCTATCACGTACACTTTATTTGAGCGCTAGCCAATAGAAGCTTGGGTGTAACATAATGATGTCATTATGTTACGGAAGTTATCAAAAGATTCCAATGGAGGCATTTTAGGCAGGGGGGGGAGTGCGTGGGAGAGAAACTTTGAGATTTTAGCCTTAGCAGACCATTTACATGCACAAAAACCTAAAGAACAAACTACAGGAAAGGGAAAACCTTAATAAAAACCATTTAACCATTTAAATTAATCTGATGATTTCAAATTCGATTGCATTTGCAACAATCAGTTCTGCCAAGATTTACTGATCTATTTTTGCGTTTGTTTTGCCACTGTTGACAAGAGCCCCCCTCCACTTTAATTCCAGGTGGATTTGTTACTGTTGCTCCAGCAAGTGAAGCCTGGGTGTTTATATTTCCCGACACAGTTTCCACACAGAGATCATGTACAGCAGACAGATCAGCTTCTCTCACTTGTTGATACCCACTCTTAGTGTGACATTCTCTGTCTGTCACCCACCAGACCTAGGTCAAGAATCATTTGCAGTTGAATATTACATTCCCCCATCTGCTTTGTGGCATTGGATGTCCCACAGTAAGAATTTTCACATCAAAATATATACAACAAGTAGAAGATTTATTTCAGTCTTTCTGGTGATATCACTTTTTGTCATGCACCTTTGGTAAAACAAAGCATCAAATACTGTGTGACCCATAAAACAAGTATTATTGTGCTCCTCCCCACATAGACTGTCAGTATCAGGAGACAGATCCTCTAATTGCTCCTCATTCTGTGTATGTATACTGGGTGTGTGTGGGGGTGGGCGTGTTGTTATTCCCCGGCAATGAAACGGACAATACCTCCTGCTGCGCTTCTGCTTTTTTGGATAGCAGCCCTCTTTTAAAGGGATATTTTTTTACATCCTTCTCTCCCTCTTGTGTTGTCGGTTAGGAGTAGCGATGCTGGCAGGGGGCCAAGACAGATGACGGCCCCTGCAGACAAGAGCAGAGTAAACTTGCTCAAAGGGCCAGTTTACTCCGTCAGGACAGCTTGTCTAATGGTCTTCGGTTAGCTGAGGGGGCTGTGTCCGATCATTCCTGTAACCTACGATTTGACATTCACACCCACTTACCGGCCTGATTGGCCAGCTGCGCAGAGGTTAGAAAGAACGCTGGGTTTCTCTTCAGCCCTTTTTTTTTTTTTTTTTTTACAAAGAAGCTATTCCTGGCTCTTTTCATGTGAAGAGCTGAGAGCAGCACTGCATTTCTTCCTGGAGAAACTGTCTGAAAATGTGGAATGATATCCCAATTTGTAACCACATTGCATCTCCCCCTTATGACAGCTGGCTTTTCACTCTTGAGTTATGTCATTCTGAACGACAACAAAAACGTTGGATTGTGTGCGGACACATGTCGCACAACCAACTTTCCCTCTAGCAAGACCCTGAGGAGGCGTGAAAAGGAAGAAAGTCAGACGTTCGGTTTCCCTTAAACCATGTGACTGTGTGTGAGAGACATTCTGTCACGGACAACTGCCTGAGCAGGTTACTAACCACAGGGCTTCCCTCTTCTATCGGGCTATTAGACATTCCCTCTTTTGTCTCTCTTAACATGTGAGTGATGTCTCCCAAGTGACTCTCATTATTGCATGTTTCAGAAGCCCTAAAGAAAGTTGTCTTCTGTTCAGGTTTCTGTTCAGACAGAGAAATGATAACACCCTGAGTACTATAGGTTTATACAACTGTTGTGGTATTTGTCTTTGACCCTACTATTCCACTTTCAGCATAAGAAAACTGATATTTGATGATGTTTGTACCATTTCTCCATGCATTTGCAGTTGGCTTATCTCCTGCTGTCCATTTGCCTGAAGTGGTCCAGAAATCCATTTCACATTTTCCCTTTCACACTTGCAAAATGGTAAAGGTACACAGTGTGCTCTTCGAGATGGGGCATTTTGGGCTAGGGTGGGGTCGGGTGGTGGAAGGATCCTTGAAATCAGAGCCATTGGGGCTTGAGGAAAGCCCTTTGGATCTGAATCAGCTATATATGTATTGCATGAAAACATAGAAATGTATAACAAAGAAAATGTTTGCCAAAAACACTTTCACACATACTAAATCAAGTCCCTTAATGTTGTTGAGTCAGCAATATTTAGATTTAACACGATACAATACACTTTGTTTTCCCGTCAGGTCATTTGTTTTGGTCTCATTACATGACTACATTAAGTATGAAACAAATCAAGTATCTGAGCATCTCTTTTTCCTTACTGAGAGATCTTTTAATGTCCAGTTGTGTTTGAGTTTTCCTAAACGCACCTCTCTCCAGGATCCCTCGGGTTCAGCCATCTCTGGACGACCGGATCTTCCCCTCACAGCCCGGAGTCGCTGCAGTCTACAGTGTGACTCCCTGCCCACAGACCCTCTCCCAAACATATCCACCGGTATGCTGCAGTGCATGCACATCAAAATACACACTCCAGATACAGAATACACACACGCAGAGACTTATATCTATTGTATGGACTGAATGAATGTAGTTGCAAACATTTGACTGTAAAAACACACACACCGTTGCTAGATTATTAGGTACACCTGGATAAAACTGGATTATGCAACACTTCTTTTTATAAAGGTTGCATTGTTTGTTTAAACTGTTTATTAGTATGTTGATTTATGGTAATATTTGAAGCAGTTGCATCTTACCGAGAGGTGTTTCTAATATTTGGTCTACCTTCATTGATATGGGCGTACTAAATATTAGAAACTCCTCTCACAGAACATTATACCCATGATAATGATGCCCTGATGTAGGCTTCATGCCACTCCCACAAGCATCAACGTATGAGGTGATTCTTTGCTGTTTTTCACCTGACCACAGAGCGCCACAGACATTGCTGTTTTTTTGAGGCAGAGCACCCAACTGAAGTTCAGTGCAGGAGAAACGCACCAGTTTCCTCCTAAGAACATTGTAACCTTTATGAAGGTAGGATTTATTGCATTTGTTTACAAAGTGTACCTGATAAACTGGCAACTGAATGTGTGTTGACTTTAAATATGTGTTTGCGGTTTGGTACCATGCAAGGTCACATTGTCTGTAAAACTGCTCGCCACCTCTATATATGTTTTTTTTCACTGAGAACAATATATTTTAACGCTGTTCACTCTCTGCAAGAGAGTGAACAGCGTTCACAGGCACTGTAAACATCCATCTGTAGGGGTTTTATTTATTGCAAAAAGAAGAAAGCATGCTTGTTAAGACATTATACTGTGACCTGACTGCTGGGGAAATGTGTTACCTCAAGGGACCTTTGCCATTCACCGCCTCCCTCCAGGAGTCTATTAACACTTCCTGTATTATGGTCTGTGTCATCGTTTGTGTTGTATTTATATACTGTTGAAGGAGTACTATTATTTTTGGTCACAGAAAAAAACAAAAACACATTTCCTCTGAAATGTTGTCCTTGGCTGAACCATGAACTTGCCATTCATGTGTGTCAGTGACGAGCCACACCTACTGTATCCCCTAAAGACCAATAGAAACCTGAAATAGCCTCATCCCTTCCCTCTGAGGACACCACAGTCACCATCTGGTAGTGGGCATTATGCTGTGATAAGAGTCATGTGGAGCACTGCAGTTTGCAGACCCTGAGCCTCTGATCAGCCACATGTGCATTTTTCTTTCTACCATACTTGGCTTTGTAAGATAATGATTAATGGCAACCCCACATTAAACGTTTACTACTGAAATGACAAGAAAGAAATATTTATTTTCCTTTCACTACACATTTTATAGATTTTTTTTTTTTTTTTTTCTCGACAAAATGAACTGAGCTGGCTCAATAAATATGGTGCTCACTGAGACCTCCTCCACATTTTAATACTGACATTATAGTGGTCATTTGTGGGGAGGATATAACATAATAGTGTGTGTTTGATTGCCCTGTGCTGACGTATGATCTTTTATGAGCTTTGTAGTATTCTATAGAATTGCCACTTTGGTTATTTGAAACCACAAAGAAGATGATTTCAGTTATGATTTCTGTCGCACAGCATGTATAGCTGCACCAGAAAAAAGCCGGTGTATGCCTAAAGAGACTGAGATTATCTACTGTAACAACACCATTGGAAACACTGCAGGTTTTATGAGATTTTCTACCTCTGGAAGTTCATTTTAAATGCGATAGGCTGCAACAATGATGACACTGGTGGAAATAAATCCCACGGCATGAAACGGTTGTTCTCTGCAGTGGATGTAAAGCTTGTACCCCCCCCCCCCCTCCCTTCCCCCCTTCTCTTCATGTACAGCTCCTATACAGCCGCTTGCCTCCCTTCCCCCACCCCATCACTCTGTATGTCCTCAGAATCTCTCACTGGCCTGGAGCAGTGCAAGCTCCTCCCCTGGCAACAGTGGCTAGATTAGTTGCTACATCCCAGGTCATCTGAGGGAAGTAGGCCACACATAGTTTATGGAGAGAAGCAAAAGGGATTGATCCTATAGAATCTATACAGAGTAGTGTCAGTAGATTTGAATGTAATGCATTTTAAGGAGGAAGCCCTTAATGTTAGTTTTAGCATTGGAGCTGTGAAAGCTTTAATAGCTGAGTGTGTAAAGAAAAAGGAAAAAAAAGCCTGGCTGGAGAGAACCGTGGGCTGCCCAGCTTTCCTGGCCGTCTCAGTGCCTCCTGCTTTCTTCCTGCTGTATCCTGTCTCAGTCCCTGGTGTGTGTGCGTCTTGCAGCAGAAACAAGAAGCACCTGCAGTGTTGCCAGCCTGCAGCTGCAGCAGCAAAGGGCCCATCCCGCCACCAGTCAAATCTCATCTCTTCCTCCTGATAGTGCCCCCCCAGGCTGGGGATGAACCCCTGAGCCCTTTGTTGGCCCATATTGATGAGACTTGTTCGAATGACTCCGTTACTCTATTGTGTCCGAGGGCACTTAATTTGTCACACATGAGTTGGATCGTGATGTGATTGCTTGACCCAGTTATGCCATATGAGGCCCAGGCATCCTTGCACAGCATAGTTGGGCACAGCATGCTGCAGGAGAGGCCAGAGAGTGTCAGCCAACCCCTGCAGACTCCCAAATCACTCTGCAGGTCCTCACCTCTGCACACATACAGGGGCTAATCCTGGAGCTTTAGCTTAATTTCAATTCCTCAACAGGAGAGAGGACTAATGACCTGTGGAATCCAGATGTTCTTTCTGTTCCTCTTCTGCATCAGTGCATGTGTGTGTGGCATAGTATCTTGTTTTGGGTGTCTGTATATCTAACGTGACTGTTTTATGTGATACAGGTACCCAGGCACGCTGGCCCTCCTTACACTGCTCATGACATCACAAAGGGACACCCTAACTTGGCGGGCACACCACCCGGCCATGCCCACTCCCCGGCGCTCACTCAGGTATCCCTTCCCACAGCTTCCCAATATCGCTATGCGAAGGGCTGGGAGGCAGGCGGAGGGGTGAGTTTATCAGTGTGTCCGCCTTTAACCTCAATGCATGCTCATGTTTGATCTGTCCATTTGTTTGCTTATTTGTTATGACTTGTGATAGGGCTTGGATACAATTCAACATTACAATTTATTTTCCCCCGATATATAACCCCATCTTCACAAACATTAAAATAAAGATAGTGGGATTTACTTATCTTAACGTTTTTTTTTTTTTTTAATTGATTTAATGGATAGGATTTTGAAATGATGGCATTCTTTTTTTTCAACAAAAAAGAAAAATCAGACATAGACAAACATGCATCTCCTGTATTCTTCATACAGTTCTAATTAGTTTAGAGTGCAAACCAAGCATGCATGTTGCTAAAATAGAGATCAATACTGGTCAGGGTTGCAGGGCTGATTCATATGGACAAACACGTTTAAATGTATGTGACCTGTTTAGATTAAAACTACGTTAGGAAAGCAGATCGCCTTGAGGATTAACACTGGTTTGAACCCAGTACCCTCTTGCTGTGTGGTCGTAGTGCTAACGGCCCGTCCACACAGCGGCCTGCGTTGAAGCTTCAACGCTTCTGCCCATTCACTTTGAATGTGGTGACGTCACGCTTCGCCGAACTGCATTTTGGGGAGCGTAGCTACGCGTTACTCGCGTCAAAAGTTGAACCGTGTTCAACTTTTGAAGCTTCGACGGACGCGTCAGCCAATCAAATCCCATTTATGGAAATCTGCCAGTACAACTGCTAGCCAATCAAACCGCGTGTATGCTTCGAGTAGTGAATCACCCGGTGCTGTATGATCAGTCTCTCTTCTTCATCTACTGGGATACAAACCGGAGGAGCCAGGCATGGAGGAAGGTGGCAGAGATAGTGGGTGAAACTGGTAGGTTTTCGGCTGTTTGGGGAGTTTATATATAGTGTACCTCGTTTAAACATTGAATGGACAGCTAGCAGGCATAGACAGTATATATAGCTAGCATGGGCTAGCTCCGGGATGCCGGCTGGAGCTAGCCCCCTGCGGCCCCGTTAGCTCCGGCGGCCATCACTGGGATAATTGGGTCCCCTATTACCATTTGCTCCCGTTTAGCATTATGGCCATAGACTATAAAAGTCTTACCCAAGGCTGAATCATAAACTAAAATGTATATGTATGTATAAAGGGTTACGTCCTTAGCTGGCTAATAAGTAACAAGCTAAGCTACCAAGCACACAAACACCTGCGAACGGGATTAACATGTATAATATTATCATTTTAGACTTCTTGGAAGTTCTGTTAGTACATTCAAGCGCACAGCACAACATTTTAATTGTCTGGTATTTGTAACAATATTCCCTAAAAGGCACAATCACCACGAACACGGCTAAAGCTAAAGGGTCAAGTACAGTACTATGACTAACTAACGTTGTAGCCTGCCGTGTTCGTGGTGATTGTGCCTTTTAGGGAATATTGTTACAAATACCANTCACTAGCACCCCCCACCCCGTTGACAGGGGTCGCCAGTCTCTGGCACGGTTATTTTGGGGGTCGCGGGCTGAAAAGTTTGGGAACCCCTGCCCTAAAGGACTGCAAATCCTGTGTTGCTATATTCTTCATCTAGTGTGTAGTGGGGCTAGGCAGAGGTAGGTTTAGGCAGATCTGCTTACTCGTCTCTAAGCGGCAGCTGCTGGTATAGCGGAGATCATTTCAGTTTGCCCTGGCTGACGACAATATCTATAGAAGGTGAGAGGGACACTAGAGCTGCTTTAAGGTGAGGCAGTAGGTAATTAGGCTATAACGGTAAAGTGGAACATACAGAAGTCACATACTTCCAGGGAAGCCGACTCAATGTGTGACTCACACAATATCACAGCGGTGTGTCAGTTTGACAAGGAATTAGGGTTTCGATGCAACTGTTTGACTGTATTCATTTTGTTTTTGCGTAAGCTTACCCAGAGGATGTAAAGCTGCCTTAACCAAACAGAGGTGACGATTGAGTTAATCTTTGTGATCATATTCAGCCTTGATTTATTTCAGTTTTGGTTTTTTCATTGCCTTATTCTATCTCCATTGCAATTGTATAGATCTCACTCTAGTTATGGTAGGAGAAAGACATCCCAATTTGATATTATTAACCCTTACCTGACCCCGACAATGTCTAATTGTAATTATTATATTCTTTAATAATCTTGTAATTGGCATCCTGTATTTCTATGATGAGAAGGTCAACCTGGGATCATGGTTGTAATCCCTCAAATCCATAACATCCTGTCAATAATCTTACTTAAATCCAGGTTAATCACTATGCTTCTGCCCTTAACCTCAGGTGGTGTAAAGATGGTAACACCCACATCCCCTGTTAACGTATTCCCTATCCTGATTCATTCTTTTCTACTTTTTTACGCAAATAATCGAGGTCTAAACATAAAAATGCTTTAATTATTTTAAACTGAAGGCAATGAAGTATAGCAGAGGACTCTTTTCAGCTGCAGGGGCATAACATTGGCTCCAACATTTAAAAACTATTTTAGATTTTGGTTGAGCAAATTGATCATATATCATAACCCCAAACAACCTTTTGATGTTGTACAAAGTAGCTGATATTAAAACAGCTATAGTTGGCTTAGACATCATAATATTACTCCCTACAGGTTACGGAGCGTCTACACAGCAGCATGCGTTGACGCTTGGCGTGTCTGAAGCTTGGAGAGTCAACGCGAGCAACGCGACCAACAACCAATCACATGAATCTCCCGCCCCCGACATACAAAGCAAAAAACATTCCATGCTAGCTATATATACTGTCTATGCCTGCTAGCTGTCCATTCAATGTTTAAACGAGGTACACTGGATATAAACTCTCCAAACAGGCGAAAACCTACCAGTTTCACCAACTATCTCTGCCACCTCCCTCCATGCCTGGCTCCTCCGGTTTGTATCCCGGAGACTGATCATACAGCACCGGGTGGTTCACTACCGCAATGNNNNGGGGGGGGGGGGGGGGGTTGCTACTAGTGAATTAATTCATTAAAGTTTTCCGTACTCTCGTGGGAATATCTCCGCAATGGAGCGAGTTTAAGATTGCATCATATAGCCCAGCGCAACACCTTCAACACATGTTGCCACTTGTTTGTAGCCTTTTCTGGCGATTTGTAATCTGTTCTAGAAAAACGATGTGTTATTTAGGATTTCAAGATGAATTATTTGATGAACCATCCATGCTGAAAGTAGATTTAGATGTGTTAGGAGTGAGATAGAGATTATATATCTAATATATGCATCCGATGAAGCATTGCATGAAGTCTGTTGATGATCAGAGGCTGTTGTCAGGGCTGCATTAACCTTTTTTTATTTTTGTTTTAATAGCATTTTTACAAAAAAAGCCCAGGCTTATACCTCAGAGAGTTAAACTTGGGCCTGCGACCATAGTTTTACTGTATTTTGTTTTGGAAATCCACAGCGGAGGTTTGTGTCGTACTACATGCGGTGTATTTTGCATATCTCTCGGTAGCCAACGATCTGTGAGTCTGTTGGCTCGGACATAAACTCCGTAATAAATGTAGTCTACATTTCATTAGAGGTGTAAAACCTGAGAGCATTTTAAATCGCATTTGAACTAAATGCTTATATAATCTGTAGTTGTATTTGTATTGTTGATTTATTGTGTGAACGAGGTGATATAGAGAAGATTAAGCTGTCATTATTAGGCTGTAATATACTGTTGGAGTGGTAAGCAGGCCTGTTGTTTTTGGATATTTGTGGAGTTAGGTGTTCCGCGAGTGTTTTTTTATTGGTTAAGTGGTCCTTGGTATGAAAAGGTTTAAAAAAGAAACACTGCGCTAGTGGATTATCAACGGGGGGCCAGTCCGCCCCTGAAAAATGTCTATGCACACGTTATTATTGATAATAATAATAATAATACAAATTGATAAAAAAAAATTGATTATTTTAATTTTGTAATCATCTCGCGACCCCCACTTTGGGAACCCCTGCTTTAGGGTTGCAATTATCTTTGCGTAGCACATCAACCCCAGCTAGAAACATACCAGCAACATCTAAGTGTTGCTTGTTAAATGTGAAATGTCTTAATGAAATTAGGATTTTTGCACAGTTCCTGTCTGTATCTTAACACACTGTCTCCTCCTCTGTCTTTCTTTTTCTCTTTTTATTTTTCTCACAGTCTCCATACAACCCTGGACTAAATGCTGGTTCCGCCCCTTTAGTGTATTCTCCCCAGACGCAGCCAATGAATGCACAGCCACAAAGTCGCCCGGTGAGTGTCCCTCTGCTGCTGGATTTACAGCTCTGCTGCCTCCAAGTACAAGAGGTTGCTCTTTACTGTGGCTTTAATTGAGAGTTGAGAGATGTCATTGACTTACTGACCTGATGCTTAGATGTTTAGATGCCGCAAAGAGCTTGATAAATTTCGAAACATCTAAATCTGCTCATGTCAGTGAAGCATGAGCTTCACTATTCAGATCTCCTTAACTTTACAGACTTGTGGTGTGTGGTGTGGGATATTAGTAAACACTGGTGTAATCATTTCCCCTTGTTACGCAATATTCAAGTTAAAAAGTCAGAGTCCCTGTCTTACATTTAAAACCATGAAGAGCCCACTAACAGCTTTTAGGAAACCTCACACCACGAGAAGACATTTTGAATATCATATATACTTTGCCAGCATTTTCTGTACTCGCACACCTATTATTTATGAATCTTGCCTGGCTCCTGCACAGCCCCCATCAGCAGAGCAAGGCTAACCAGACCTCAGGAGTCTTGTTTTAAGCTGTGTGGTTACTATGGGAAGGATTCCTACATAGGAAACAGGATCTTATTTTAATCCCACTACAGTATGCAACACGGCATACAGATTACTCTTTGCAAGTCACAATTGGGAATCATAAAATACAGACCTTGACTTGGGTCTGAGAGCGGTATCACGTACCAGGTGAAGTCTTGTGTGGTTTTGTTCTGTATTTACCGGCCTCATCGCTCATCTTATCTGTGTCTCTCTTATGCTCTTTCTTTCTCCCTGCTTTGCCATCACTGCTTCAATCTCCTTGCTGGACCTGTCCTCCCTCCCCCACCAGTTTGCCACGGGCCCTCGACCAACCCACCATCAGGTAATTGACCCCCGCTGAACACCCCTCCTGCTCCCTCTCTTGCATCATCCTCATCAAAGCAGTTTTTAGCTGGTACCTGCTGGCAAGAGGGCTGTTTACGGGATGTCTGCCATTCCTTAAATAAAAAAGTAGTCTCCGATTTGCAAAAGCTTCAAATGTCTTGGATACAGTTGAAGAGATTTTAATTATCATGGGGGGGGTTTTCTGAGCGGGCTGCTATTTAATCCACCTGTCCAGCCAGGTGCGCAGCGCAGTTTCCTGGCGGGTGGGTTTCTTGCACTATTCATGTTTATTTTTATGGTGGGATTGATCTGAGTTCATTTCCAAGAATTGAGTTGCAATTGAATATTCTTTTATCAGGTTCAGATGTAATGAAGTCTAAGCTTGTCTTTGGGCTCTCAGTTGAGCAGGATGTTTAGGATTGGGATTCTCCTAGACTTTCTTACAGCTTATATCATTTTCTTAAAGACCCTTTACATGATGACTTAAATATTGATCTAACATTTAAACAAACAGGAAATGACTAGTCTCTCTGTGATAATGGGTTTAGCCTCTGCACACGTGTTTAGAGCCTATGGTTGTTAGCTATTAAAAGAAGTAAAGGTGAAAAATAATAGAAGCTTAATTATTGGAAAAGATAATGTACTTGCCAGTCAGAGTACTTTCTATTGCATGTGCCATGAACACACCTAACTACTACCTTGAGTTAATGGTGCTAGACCTCTGCAGGGCACTTCCATGCAGCATTATTACTGTATTTGTTAGTGTGTTCGTAAGTGCCTCGATAGTGTGCTGCTAATCCGTTTTTTTTTTCTCTATTCTTTTTAAGGCATAGTTGATCCAAGCATAATCGAGCCATTATTTGGAATGATTCTATTTTTTAAGGATATTTGGCTGTGATATCATGAGTCTTATTTGTTAACAGTAATTACACCAAGGTAGTGTCATTTACAATAGGCTGTTTTATTGATGTTTGGGCAAGAATTGTGATGTCGAGTAGTTTGTACACAACTACATCTGCAAGCCACATTCCAGATGAAGTGGTCCTAATAGTTGTTCTTAAAATGCTGAATATTCATATAGTCAGGGGTGCACATAACTGTTACGCATGCGCGGCAACAATCTGAAATGCGTACCGTCACTTGTGTCACAAAGGGCATTTGCGTCGGTCTCCGTGTGCACAGACAGGGCTGCTGTTAAAGAGCATCTTGCAGGTTTTTATTTTTTCTGCATTTATGCTTAAACTTGCTTGAAAATTACAATTAAAAAAGTGAATGCAGGATTTGATATGTTTAACTATACACAAGGGCAGGAATTCAGAGGGAAAGGAGCAATTTTGAGCTCTGCTCTTAAAAACGGCATTTTTGAGCTCTGTTCTTAAAAACGGCTTTTTTTTAAGGTCATACGTTAAACGCGTCATATTACATCACACAGGGGACACATCTCCGCTCTCTGACCGCGGGTATAGTTAGTAGTTGCGTTGAGTTGAGCGGTTGTGTTTTAAGGAGCTGGTATTTTTCGGTAGTTTTACATTGTATTTCACCATTTGTAATCATGGTGCAGTATTGTGTTTGTGCAGTTTGCACAAATACCAACCTGTCAGGACATCGAGTCCACAGTAAAAAGGACCGGAGCTAGCGTTTGTTCCTGGGTGTGTTGTGCATCCACCTCCCTGCAGCACATACTCTCCACAGCTTTATCAGGAAACTGTATTACATCTCTCTCCCCCCGGGGGAGAGAGATGTAATACAGTTTCCTGATAAAGCTGTGGAGAGTATGTGCTGCAGGGAGGTGGATGCACAACACACCCAGGAACAAACGCTAGCTCCNTTCCTGGTGCTCAAAGAGCTTAATCTACCTATCTATCCATCCATCTATCTATCTATCTATCTATCTATCTATCTATCTATCTGTCTGTCTGTCTGTCTGTCCGTCCATCCATCTGTCTGTCTGTCCATCCATCTATCTATCTGTCTATCTGTCTGTCCATCTATCTTAATCAACACACAACAGAAAATAATGAAACTACTGGAAA